TGTACTTCGTCGATCTGCCTGTTCTGTTCCCCACTCTGTCTCTGGTGAAGCCTCTCACCACCCCTGCGCCTCTGGCCTGCACCCCAATTCTGTATGCACAAATAAATAAATCTTTAAAAAAAAAAAGTATATCACAATGGCCTGAGAGCTTTGCCCATCCCCCGCCCTGGGGAAAGATGGGTGCTGGGAGCCCGTACTGTGTGCTGTGCTCTGTGAGGGGTCAGCCCTCCCATCCTTGTCTCACACCAGGGTTGGGCAAGGGCAGCCCTCCCCTCGCTGCCTGCCCAGTGCCAGCCGGCCTCCCTGCCTCTCTGCCCCACCTTGCCCTGGTCACCAGGCAGGGGTGCAGGGGTGGGGGGTGGGAGTGGGGCCTGGCCGAGCTGTCTGCCTGGGATTCAGAGGAGCCCGAGGGGGTTCTCTGCAGCTTCGTGCACAGGGGTGGGCAGACCTGGCCGCAGACAGTACACAAACACCCTCTCCCTTGACATACCCGTCTCTCTCACACAGCCAGGCGCACACTCTGGGTCTCATGTTCTGGCGCACACCTCTCTCTCCACCTGCCTGGCGCTCACCTGGGCTCTGCCAGGTCTGCATGCAGGGACAGGAGGGAGCGGGCGCTGCTCACCCCTTCACCACTGCTGGTGTCTCCAGCTGTCCCCGCCTCCTGACCACACCCCCTAAACACAGATGCTGGAGCAGACAGCTATTTCCTCTCTGCTCCACTCCTGCCTCTGCGTGCTGTGCCTCTTCCCAGCCACAGCCACCACGTGCCCGCGGCTTCCAGGGCCGGACCTGCCCCTCTGCGCCCAGGTAAGGAGGCGGTGTCTGGGCAGCCTCAGTGCCCTGTTTGGACCCCAGGGAAGCGGGAGAAGACTGTTAATGGCAGGGGGTGGTGGAGACTGGAGGGGGCATGCTCAGAGGCGGGAAGGGGTGACCTACTGCCCCACGCAGGCACGCCTGCAGGCACAGCTGCTCTGTCCACATTCACAGGCTCTGGGCAGGGTGGGCCGAGGGCAGCTGCCCCAAGCCCACGCAGCCAGGAGCTGGGGTTCAAACCCAGGTCTCTGCCTCCAAAGGCTCCATGCTCTGCCCCAGCCCCTGCCCAAGCAGAGCCCGGTGCTGGGCTCCTGAGACCCCTGGGGGGTGGGTTTAGGAGGCCAGGGGGCCAATCTGAATGGGGCCCCGGTACAGCAGGCCTGGGGCTCTGCTCTCCCGTGGGACTTGGCTCCCCAGGAGCGGGAGGTGCTGTGGACAGCTGCACAGAGACGGCTCCACCCCCCAGCTGAGGAGCCCAAGACCATGCCCTGTCCGGAAGGTGGGGTCTGGGGGGGTCACTATAGAGCAAGTCACTGCTCTATAGACCAGGCCTAGGAAGCACAGGCATTCTCACAGCCGCACCCCAGCGCCCTCACCTGCCTGCAGACCCTGCTCAAGGGCTCATGCGCCAGGCAAATCTAACCTGGCGTCCTGGGACCTCGCCCCACAGAGGACCCGCAGAAGGCGAGGGTGTCCTCCACCTGTTCGATGATGCTCCCTGGATTGACAGGCCCCGAGCGACTGCCTCAGCCCCACCTGCCTTCTGATCTTCCCCCCATCCGTGCTTACAGCGGAGGGAGAGGGAGGGGGCTGGGGCTAGGAGGCGGCTCCTCCCCACGGCTGTGTGGCCGGAACAGCTCTGGGCGTGCTATTTCCACCGTGCGCTCCAGCGTCTGTTGCTGGAAAAACGGGCGCAGAGAACTGCCCACCTTCCCGTCAGCCCCAGGCAAGAGACATCAGTGTAAAGGGCTCACCACACAGGGCAGGCGTGTTGGGGGACCCAGGCACCCTGAACCCCCAGCCCCTACCTCCGGCCCCAATTCTCACAGGTGGCCCCCAACATCCTCAGCCCTCCTGATCAGCTGCTCTACCCCTGCCGGGCTCGGGTCTTGGGGAGGTGATGGGCACAGGCGTCTGGGGTGTCTGCCGGCCACCAGGGCCTGGCTTCCCGGGTGCACGCGAGGGTGAGAGGACGAGAGGACAGACAGGGTGGGGCACTAGGAGCTCGGGCCAGGGACCACCCCTGGGCAGGGAGAGCACTTCTGTTCCCCCAAGCCTCCCTCATCTCCCCAGCCCCCCCGAACCCCAAACTCGTAGCTCCTCCTGCACAGCTCTCGTCTTATCTTATTTCCTCTCCGCTATCAGAGCAGGGGCCGCTCCACTGTTTGCAGTCAACACGCCCAAGCAGCCACCACGGTGGGCGCCGAGGGCCACAGAGGAGCTGCTCAGAGCAAGGGCGGGGGGGGGGGCAGCACCCCTTAAAGGCACCGACTCCTCCGTCCATCCCGCCCCCAGACTAGGCAAATCCTCCTGCCCCTTATGTGGGTCTCAGTCAGGTCCCCACACCCGCCCCCCCCAGGATTGGGGAGAGGCACCCCATTGGGCTGGCCTTCCGATTTTTCTGTGTGACCCATTGCTTAATAATAACCAGAGCACCCTGAAGTAGCACTTGTGTGTGCCAGACGGCTCTAAAGGCACAGGCACATCAATACTCTGCCCTCCCAAGCACCCTCGAGCTGGCGAGTTCCGCTGACCGCGTGTTAGAGGAGGAAACGGCCGGGAGGGCGGTGGAGCAGGGAGCCGACACCTCGCCTTCCTGCCGTGTCGCGGGTCCCCAGGGTGTCATCTATACCGTTGGCGGGGGTGGGGTCGGCAGCTCCTGGGGAGGGTCCCCGACCTCCAGGACCGCAGCCCTCAGCGGCCCCTCCTCGCGCAGAGCCGCCATGTTGGCCAACGCCACGCTGAAGCCGCTCTGCCCCATTCTGGAGCAGATGAGCCGTCTGCAGAGCCACAGCAACTCCAGCATCCGCTACATGGACCACGTGTCGGTGCTGCTGCACGCGCTGGCGGCGGCGCTGGGCGTGGTGGAGAACGGACTCATCCTCTTCGTGGTGGGCTGCCGCATGCGCCAGACCGTGGTCACCACCTGGGTGCTGCACCTGGCGCTGTCCGACCTGCTGGCCTCCGCCTTCCTGCCCTTCTTCACCTACTTCCTGGCCGTGGGCCACTCGTGGGAGCTGGGCACCCCCTTCTGCAAGCTGCACTCGTCCACCTTCTTCCTCAACATGTTCGCCAGCGGCTTCCTGCTCAGCGCCATCAGCCTGGACCGCTGCCTGCAGGTGGTGCGGCCCGTGTGGGCCCAGAACCGCCGCTCGGTGGCGGCGGCGCACAAGCTCTGCCTGGCCCTGTGGGCGCTGGCGGTGCTCAACACGGTGCCCTACTTCGTGTTCCGGGACACCATGCGGCGGCAGGACGGCCGCACCATGTGCTACTACAACGTGCTGCTCCTGAGCCCCGGGCCGGACCGCAACGCCACGTGCCACTCGCGCCAGATGGCCCTGGCTGTCAGCAAGTTCCTGCTGGCCTTCGTGGTGCCGCTGGCCATCATCGCCTCGAGCCACGTGGCCGTGAGCTTGCGGATGCGCCACCGCCACGGCAGCCGCACGCGCTCCAGCCGCTTCGTGCGCCTGGTGGCGGCCGTGGTGGCGGCCTTCGTGCTCTGCTGGGGCCCCTACCACGTCTTCAGCCTGCTGGAGGCGCGGGCGCACGCCCGGGAGGCGCTGCGGCCGCTGGTGTGGCGCGGGCTGCCCCTGGTCACCAGCCTGGCCTTCTTCAACAGCGTGCTCAACCCGCTCCTCTACGTGTTCACCTGCCCCGACGTGCTGAGCAGGCTGCGGCGCTCGCTGCGCAGCGTGCTGGAGAGCGTGCTGGTGGACGACAGCGAGCTGGGCAGCCTGGGCAGCCGCCGCCGCCGCGTCTCCTCCTCCACCACCACCGGCATCGGCGCCGGCACCGCGTCCTCCTCGTCCCGCAGCGGCGGCTGCCTGCCCTCGTTGAGCCCCGCCGGTCTCCCGGGCTGCCTGTCCGGCGGCCGCAGGGCGTCCCCGCAGAGGGGGCGCGCCCGGGCCCTGGACGAGACGGGGCCCCTGAACCCGGGGCCGGGCGCCGCTGCGCATTAGAGGGCGCCTGCGAGCAGAGGCGGCGCGCGGGCTGAGCGCAGACGCCGGCACGGAGAAGTAGCCAGCGCCAGGGCTTCGTCCGAAGGCCTGGGGACCTGCGCTGTTCAGCACCCAGGGCGGCTCGGTGAGCCTTTTCCAGAACCCACGTGGGTAACGCGGTGGGACTCAACCTTGACTGCATCCGCCGCGTCTCTGACAGTTGCCGCGCCCCCAGGGTGTCCTGGCCTCTGGTCCGCAGAGTAGCCAGAGTAGCCGGCTAAAACTCCGGAGCTCACACCAGGGGGGGCACTTCCGGATGGCTGATGGGGGCATTAAGCCGGTGATGTGCTTTGGGCAATGTGGGAAATGTTTGGGGTTATTGTTGCACTCCAACCTCAACATTTATTCACATCATGGACGTTTTACCCTTGGTCTTGGTTTTACTAACCCCGAGTTTTCGCGGGAGCCCACCCAGGAGCTTGCTGACCCAAGCGCTGCAGCTGCCGGAGCCCCTGCCCGCCGTCTGGCCGCATGGCCAAAGTGTGCTTATAAGGTGGAAGAGGCCTCTGGGGCGCGGGGCACTTCCGGCCTCCTCACAGGGTCTGGCCAGGCCCCGCCGCCTCCTGGCAGGGGCCTGGGGTGGGGCGTGCGGGTCCGGCACCTCCCCAGCAGCCACCCCCCAGCAGCCGTGGCTCCCACTTTGCAGGTGGCACCGAAGCCCGCCTGAGCCTGAGGCACACACTGCTGCATTTTACCTCTGCCTCCCTGGGGCTGGCAGAGCGGCGCCCGCAAACGCTGGGGGGTGGGGTTTGGGCCGCTAGAGGAAGGGACGCTTGGGCTCTCGGGCCTCGGGCCGGGCTCCGCAGGCCACCCCAGGTGCCCGCCCGCTGGGCTGGCGAGCTCATCTCTTTCCTCCCAGTGCCAGCAAAGCCTGGCCCCCCAGATGTACAGGCTGCTGCAGACACCCGCTCCGCGCCCCACTTGCCACCCCACTCACGCATTTGGCGTGTTTGCTGCTTTCTCCACCAGAATGAGAGCTCCTCTGTTGTCTGAATTGTGCTAATTGTGTTCAATAAATATTTCTGCTGCAGACTGGGCGGACGTGAGTGAACTGGAGGCGTGAACTGGAGAGACGCCCACCCAGCAACCATCTGTTTTAATCCTCCGTGTTGACACGTGGGGTGAAACTGAACAGTTTCCTGGGTGTCAGGGTCAGTGGGGTGCAGAGGCAGCGAGTGGGGACCTGGATTCCTGACTGCTGGCCTGGGTGGACCCAGGACCTGAAGACAGATCATCCATATTTGGGGGTGGGGGGTCCCTCTCTAGCCACCAGCTCTCTGAAGAACCAGAATTTATACCTCTTGGCTTGGAGGCACTTGGAGGAGGGGAGATGGGCGTTTTGGCCGGGCAGAGGAAGGGAGCCCGACGCCCTTCCTCCTCCAGCTGCTGCCGGGCCCCAGGCTTCCCTCTGGGCCTGTCCCGGAGACCTGCCCAAAGCCGTCAAAGGCTCTGAGCCCCACCTGGGGTGGGGTGCTTGTCTTGCTGCCAGTGCTGGGGAGCCGGGTCTGACAGCTGGGGTGGCTGGCACCGAAGGCCCGGGGCGCCGAGCTCAGCTCTTGGCTGCCGCGGGCTGCTGGGGCGGCTGCTTCTGCAGCAGGGCCAGGGTGTCCCGCTTCTCAATGGAGCGCAGCTGCTTCTTCTTCGCCCGCTTGATCTTGGCTGGATTCCGGATCTGGGGGTGGTGGGAAGGGAGGGCATTAGTGTGCTGGTGCCCCAGGGAAAGGGAGGCCACCGCAGGAGCCCATGGCGCGTGGCGTCCTGAACGCACGCTCAGCCGGGCGGGGCGCGGACCCCGGGGGGCACTCACCACTTGGACGACTTCTGCCTTGCGCTCATTCTCCAGGCGCCGCCGCAGGTTCTCGGCCCGGCGTTCTTTCTTCTCCTGAACGCACCGGGGAAGGGGCTTTCAGTCTTAGGGCCCAGCAGCCCTGGTCTCACAGCCCCAGGTGACCGGGAGCTGAGTCACAGGGAGGCGGGAATCCAGCCCCTGGTTTTCCTGGGTGGGCTGTGGGCAGAGAGCTGGCCAGGAGCCATTCTGAGCCCACAGTCCATTCAGGGACCATGGTGGCAAGCTCCCGACTCCACCCGAGAAAGTGGACAGGCAGCTGAGGACGGGGGCTTAGGCAGGACAGGGGGTGGCGGGCACTAAGACACCAGTGGCCCCCAGGCTGGGAATCAGCCCCGCCCACTCAGGGAGGGGCCTCCAGCGGCCTCGTCAAAAGCCAGAGAATCTCTCCCAGGCCCCATGCTCCTAGAATGCCAGGCCAAAGCTGAGGGTGGGCTCCTGCGGTTTGCCCGGTGCAGGGCTGGAGGGGCAGAGCCTGCACAGAAGGGGCCCCAGGGCTCTTGAGAAGCAAATGGACACGCACGGGCTTGACAGTACCGCCGCCGGGAACACTGTGAGGCCAGGAAGCCTGCGCTGGCGATGCTGACGCTGGGCCAGGGCGTTTGCTTGGGGCCCTTTGGCTTGGACAACCCAGGGTAGCGGGGACGCTCAGGGAGAAAGGAGAAGTGAGGCGTGGGGGAAAGGTCTGGGCTGGGGGCTGGGCAGAGGCACCTCTGGGGGCAATGCGAGAAAGCCTGTTACCCAAGGAGTTGGGGCCACACAGGAAGCAAGATAAGGCTGTGGCACATGCAGCGAACACTATCCACAGGTCATCGGCCGGGCTGAGGAGACCCGAAGCGGGGGACAGACGACCTGTGGTTGGCCTCCTGCCGAACCCCACTCAGTGCCTCCTGGGTGCCTGGCCCACTGTGACCCTCACTGATACCCTGGTGCTGTGGGCAGTCACTGGGCAATGCCACCATTTGCTTTCTGATGCTGCCAACTGGGACTTCCCAGAGAAGCAGGAGATTGGGCTGAACCTCCAAGCATTTTTGGTCCTGGGTGAGTGCTGGGGAGAATGGGAGGGGTGGGTGGCAGCTGCTTCTTGGAGGATGACAGCGATAATACCCGGATAAGGCCTGCCAACCTGTAAGTCTCTACCCCAGCAGGGCGCCTCGCCCATTTCCCTGAGAGCGCCTTCCAAATCCTGGGTGCTCCCCAGGATTTCCCTACCTGTGGTCCCACAGAGCATGCCCGCTCTGGCCAGGCTGTCCGCCACCCAGGGCGCCTTCGTCTGAGCATGTGAGTGACCCCTTGGCCCCCTGGCCTGCAGTGGACAGGCCAGCCTTGCTGGCCGACCTCTCACCTGCCGGCGCCTCGCCTTCTCCTCCTCCAGATGCCGGGCAAAGTCCTTGGCCTGCTTCTTCTCCTGCCGATCCTGCATCTTCCGCTGCCAGGTAGAGCGCAGGGGCTTATCCTGAACCATCTGGGAGAACCTGGACGGGGGGAGAACAGGCTCTTAAGAGGCCCAGCTCGAGCGCTTCTCCCCAAGGACCCAGCCAGGACCACCCCCACCTGCCGTAGACAGCTGATCCTCCAGGACTGCAGAAACTGGGGTCAGGAAAGGCCCCGGATCATGCCAGGGATGATTCCTTTGGCCCAGATCACGTGACTCTGAGTGGGCAGTCTGGTTCTCTGTTTTACAGAAGAGCAAACCAAGGCCCAGAGAGGCTAGACACCTGTCCACGGTCAGCGTGGTCCTGAGCAGCAGCCAGGACTTGAGCCCCATCTGTGCACAGGGTCCTGAGCCCGGGAGTGCCCCGGCGTTGGGGGGCTCAGCCTTTTGGGGTGGGCCCTGCTCCATTTCAGAGCCTCAGTGTGGCTACAGCTCTCTGCAGTGATTCAGAACCTCTCTCCGGGGGGACAAGTGTGACAATGGAAGGGGGGCCAGGGTCAACGGCTCTCTTTAGAGTGACAGTGACATCACAGGAGAGAGGAGACACCCTAGGAGAAACCAGGGTGTCTCTGGAAGAAGCAAACTGCAAGAATTCACGGGCAGGATGAGATGCAGGGTATGTGTCAGGGTTTTCAGGAAAGAGAAAGGTAAAAGAACACACTGGGAATGTTTACAGATGCGGCGAGTATGTGGGTCCATCAAACCACAATCTCCTTTCCCGACGGGACTCTCCCTTCTGCCCATCGCCTGTGTGGGTGTGGCGTGGGCCTCGTCTCCTCAGCGCATCCTCACTGAGTGGCCATTTCCCCCCATCTCGATCCCTGGGCCCAACTTCTGGACTTCTGAAAGAGCTCACAGGATGGTCTCCCACGCCCGTGTAATGGAGCCCCACATGGACTGCAGGCCAGCCCCGCACCCCACTAGGCCTCGAGCTCACTCCCATCTGGGAAGGTCAACACACAGCCCCTCCCTTTTCTTCTTATTTCAAGCCCCCCGGGGAAGACTGACTGACCATGGAGGGTACCCAGCCCACGGGCTTTTCCTACTCACGGAAGCCTGTGCAGTTTAACCTGCAAATCAGGCACAGTACGAGGCTACCACTACGAGGAGATTATAGCAGTGCAACACAATAAAGTTATAAGAGTGTGGTTTTGTCTCCAGAGTCTGGCACACACCACCTGGACCTTAACCCCAGGTCCCAGGCTGGACCTTGTCTCCAGGTGACCCAGCACCCCCCTTCCCCGCCATCTGCTGCCTAAGGCCCAGCCTTCTAAGAACCGAGCTGTAGCAGGGACTTCCTCCCTACCCTTCTCAAACTGGGGTACAGGAACTGCAAAGGGAGAAGCCAGGGGGGCCTGGACACACCAGCCACGGGACACAAGGCAGCACCTTCCAGAGCAGGGCTGTGCAGAGCTTTCCAACGCGGCACCACGATCACGACAATGGCTCTTGGCTATCTGCAAGGTGGCTGGTGGGGGTGGGAGAGTGGGGTGCTACTCTGGAGCACTGGTTTTACCTGGGACTTGCGGTCAGGCCTGGGTTCCACGGCCTAACCCATTACTTACTACTGCTCACCTGGTGGCCTCCCTGGACCGGGTGGTCTCAGCATAATTCTGTGTTCCATGGAAACAAGAACTGGTCCCAACCCAAAGGGCACTACTGAGATGTGGCCCAGGAAACACTCCAAGCAGTGTCCTGCACACAGCAGGTGCTCAGTAAGTGCCACCTTCAGAGAAGGGCCGTGCACCCCCAAGGAGCACTGCACAAGGCAGCATCAGGTGTGGGCACGGCACGGGGGCCTGACCGCCTCCCTCCAGGACCTTTTCCTGGGACACCTCCCACACACAGGGCGCCTTCACTGGCCTCAGCACACTCCCACTAGCCGCAGCTGCTCCTTCAAAGGTCCCAACATCAATCCACTGGCCCTCAGGCCCTTCACCACACCTGTCCTGGCCTTCCGGAAGTGTTTTACTGCAGGGTCTCTGCTTTCAGCCCTGCCCTCCTAGTGGGTTCACCCCTGGACAGCCCCCCTTCCCCAGAGCCGGGGTTTCCTTATGTGTAAAATGAGGCGAAACACATGCTGCTTTCTGGGGAGTGTGCACACATGTGACGATGCATGATGATGCATGCTGTCCCCACCTGAAGGCGGGTTCCTGACCCAGCATGTCCCGCGGACGGGTGAGGGGACACCGGGAACTGCAACATTAAAGGAAAGGACATGATGTCATGAAACCAGGTCCTTGAAAATCCTGCTTTCCTCAGGGTTTTTCCTTCTCACCACTATGGGTAAGCTACAGTGGAGGGCTGTTCAAGGCCCCCTTTGTTACAAAGGTGAGTAACAGGTAATAGTGGGTAAAGATCTCAAACCCAGGGGTGTCTCCAGGTGCATCAGGCCTCTAGCACCAGAAAACCCCCATCTGCCCAGCTGTCCCTCACTTCACCTCTTCTTGGAGCGGTCCTTCCACACTCTCCCGGACTTGGGCTTCCCCTTCGGGATTAGAGGAACCTCCTCCTTTTTCAATTTCTTGGATGAGGGGGCCAGTGTCAAAGAGCCTTTCCGCTTCTTTGCTCCGGGGCCATCTGTCAACGTGACCCCGGTCGAGGGTGGCTTACTGGGCTCGTGCTGACTCGGAGGGGAGCCTGGTGACTGGGGTGTCAGTTCCTGCAGCGGCCGCGAGGGCTCGGGACCCGGTGCTTGCTGACCGGGGTAAGGCTCTGGAGATCCTGGGCCCGGCTGCGGCTGAAGTCGGGGGCAACTGGGAGCCAGCTCCTCCTCACTCTGGATCAACTCCGCGCTCGGTTCTTCTTGGCCCAGGGAGGGCTCGGGTGGTTCTCCATTTGGCTTTGGCTGAAGGGGGGGGGATTCTGGATTTGGCTCTAGCTGTCTCGGGGGCGAGCGCACGCCAGCATCTTGCTGATCCTGGGGGCACTCTGGGTCCGGCTCTGGCTGCCTTCGGGGGGACTCCAAGCCAGCATCCTGCCGTAGTCTGGGTGATCCCGGGTTTGTCTCCAGCTGCTGTTCGGGGGACTCCAGGATGGGCTGCAGAACACTCTGAAGAGACCCAGGCTCCCTCGGTTCTTCTGGGTTCGACTCGACCTCCACCAGGGCCCGTCTCGCTCGTGAGACTGAGGTGGACTTCTCGGGGGATTCAGGCTTTAGTCCTTCCAGCCGCCGGCTGCGCCTCCGCGGGGTGTCCATGGCTGGGCCGGAAAGTTCCCAAATCTTAGCCCACGTGCAGCCTCCGACGCCCGGCACTACGGCGCTGTCTTATGACGTCAGGAGCCGCCGCGACAGGGCCGGACCCGAGGAGGCGTGGCCGGGTAGGCCGGGTAGGCTGGAGAGGCGGGGTCGACCGCCCCGGTGGGCTGGGCTTCCTCGGCGCATGCGCACAGCGCTGTGGCGCTTTTTCTTGCGTTTGGAGTCTGAGCTGGTCGTTGGCTTCTGCCTTTCCCGCCCTATACACTCTGGGGAGAAGGAGAATGTGCAAGCGGAGGAGGGAGAGGAGGGACTTGGGAAAAGATCTGGAGGAGTAATTTGCTGCTAAGTGACTCTTGCATACTTGGGCAAGGATCCCGCTCTGGCTCCGTTGCAGTAGGGGTGATTTTGTGCTGGTTTGGGGTGACGAAAATAATCCTAAGAAGTACGACCTCCAGAGTGTTGCCTGGTGGGTCCCGGAGATGGGCCCCGCGTTCTGGGTCACGTGCACATCCTGGCTTTCTTCGCCCATCCTGTGCTTCCGTGCCAAATCTGTGACTCTCCCTTTTCCACCTTAATGTTTTGGTGTGAAGTTGAGACCCAGTACCCGCAGCACCTGTGGACACACCTGGTCCTGGCGGCCTGCCCAGGTCGGCTCAGGTCCCCCTTCCCCCGCCCCAGCGCTAGAAACAGGACGGGTCACTTGTGCGGCTCCTTTTAGCCAAGACCATTGTGCACCCACCCTGTCAAGTGCCTGAGCTCCTTCCCGTGAGAGCCTGGGGTAGGGAGGGCCGGCCGCTTTGATCCCCTCACAGCAGCCCTTTTTACTAGGAAGAACTTCTTGGAAGTCGCCCAACTCCCTCCCAGATCAGTGCTACTACTATTTTTTTTCTGTGTTATTTTTAGAACCTGGAGGACATGACTCTCAGGGATCCCAGGACCTCTATTCTGCTGTCCCAGTGGCTGCTTTTAGAAACCTTTGTGTCTCCAGCTGAGGGCTGGTGAGAGGGCCTGTGAAGTTGTCCAAGCATGCTCAGGGTGTAGACTGGAGTCCCTGGGGGCCTCAGCCGAGAGCCCAGCTGCATCTGCTGAGTCACTCTGCTGACAAGGGGCAGGGCTGAGAGTGTCAGGTGGGGCCCAGGTGTCTTGACTGCTTACGCAGGAGGAGGTGAGGAGGAAAACCTAGACAAAGGTCTTGGAGGATAAGGGGTTGAGAATCCTCTAACACTGCTCACTCGGTGGCTAGTGCTACTCAGTAGCCGAGATGCTTCCAGATGAGCTCAGGCTGTAGAGCTCGCCTCCCTAAGCAGGCTTCTCTGCTATCTTTTCGAAATAGCTGTGCCATTGTGTGCAAGTCAGTCCTGCCCTCCTGAGGCTCCATCTGCAGGCTCAGCCTCAGCACCCCTATCCAGGGGCACCACTTCCCATCACAGAAGCAGCTTGGACCCCACGTCTCCTTACCCAGCTCTTCCAGTGGCCAACTCTCCATTCCTTAAACTCCCTGCCCTGAACCTCCAGAGCGCCTACTACTCAGAACCACATCCAACATGCAGAGACTGCTGCCATCCCCGGCCCCTGTGGGGTGCGCCCTCCCCAGGCTTGTCCTGCTGAGCTGGGGGGAATCACCATTAAATACTGGTTGGCTCGTGCTCCAGTACTGCTTCAAAATTTTTGGAGGGTGATCTCAAATCCCTGCCAGGGTGTAGACAGGCAGGTGTTCTACAACATCAACCCAGGTGTCAAGTGAACTCTGGCCCAGGACCGTTACTCACACCTGAGCTCAGACAGTTAGCGTCATTATAAGTGGTGAGCAGGGCCCTGATATGCCATTGGAATCTTCCAGAATGGCCTGGCATGACAGCCCCCAATTGGGACTCTTTCATAATCCACCTGTGCTTTTTACTGCAAACATGTCAACTTCCTTGCCTCCTGGAGTTGGGGTAGGGGGATCCTGAAGACGCTGAGGGGTTCTTTAGCATCCCCCAGGAGGGTTGAGCCCCCATAGTCTACAAAGGCAATCTTATTCTGAACATCTTTTGGCTTCCTTCCACTCACTCCCTTATAGGTGCTTTTGGGGTCATTTTCTGAGTCTGTTGCTTAAAGCCTTTTCTCAGTCAGCTCTGGAGGAACGTCGGCAGGCAATTCCTGACCAGGTAGGGGTGTGGCATCAATCACCTAACCCTTACAGCCACCCCATGCTATTATTACTCCCATTCACCAAGAAAGAAACAGAAGCCCAGAGAGGCTGGGCTACTTGTTAAAAGTCACACAGCAAATAAGAGGCAGAGTGGTTCCTGCGCCAGTCTCTCTAACTACAGGGCCACAACTTAAATTTATTTTTGGTTTACAATGTTGTTTGTGGTTTAGAGGTGTAGGGTCTCCCCCTTCAGGAATTGTTCCCGCACTAACCCACCTCTAAGGTACCCATGATCCTCCTCCCTCGCCCCACATGTCCTTCCCCTCTGTGTTGTCTCCCATCCTTCCAAAGCCTCAGTTCTACAGTCAGATTTCTAAGGTTTGCTGCTGGCCTGGCTTTATCTGACCCTTTGTTTTGTTTCTCCATAATCCACACATAAGTGACACGATTCTCCATCGCCTCCTGACTTATTCCGCTTAGCGTCACACCCTGTGGTTGCATCCATGTTGTCACAAGCAGCAAGAGTTTATCTTACTTTGGTAGCTGAGGAGTATCCTGTCGTGTCTATGGACCACATCTCCCGGACCTGCTCGTCTGTCTTTGGGCACTTAGGTTGACTTCATAGCCTGGTTATTGTAACGTGCTGCAGTGAACAAGGGTGCATCTTTCCCTTCGAAGTAGTGTTGTGTTCTTCAGGTAGACATCAGGGAGCAGAGTGGCTGGGTCATGTGGTAGATCCGTTTTGAATATTTTCAGAACCCTCCACACTGTTTCCATAGGGGCTGGACTGGTCGACAGTCCCATCAACAGTGTTGTTCAAGGCTTCTTTTTCTCCACATCCTCGCCAGCATGTGTTTCTGGTCTTTTTGATAAGCCTTTCTCACAGGTGTGGTTTTGATTTGCATTTCCCTGTTGGTAAGTGATGAGTATTTTTTTCCTGTGTCTTTGGCTATTTGTCTCCTTAGAGAGGTGTCCAGGTAGCTCTTCTGCTCAATTTTTTTGGATTGGGTTATTGGCTTTCTTTTTGTGTACTTAACTGAGAATTTTGTAGATCTTGGATAGCAGCCTCTTGTCAGATGTGTGGTGTGCAAATATCTTCTCCTATTCGGTGTCGTGTTTTTTTTTTTTTTTTTTTTTTTTGGTCTCAGTGACAGTTTCTTTCAATGTACAGAGCTTTTTAGTTTGGTGTTGTACCAATTGTTTACACTTTCTATTTGTTGCCTTGCTTTTGGAGAAGAATCCATAAAGACATCTCTGAAGCTATGTCATTTTGCTCTGCTTTCTATGTATTTTGTGTATCTCAGTCTTACATCCAAGACTTTCATCCATTTTGAATTAATTTTTGTGTATTGTGAGATAGTGGTTAGTCTCATTCTTTTGCTGGCTGTCCAGTTTTCTAAATACCATTTGTTGAAGAGGTTTTCCTTTCTCCACTATACTCCTGGATCTTTTGTTATTGATTAACTGTCCATATAGGCATGGGCCCATTTCTAGGCTCTCAATTCTATACCATATGGTCCATGTATCTATTTTTGTCCTATTACCATACTGTTTTGATAATTATAGCCTTGTAGTGTAGTTTGAAGTCTAGGTGTGTAATACTACCATTCTTGCTCTTTTTTTGGTAAGGGTTACTGTGTTGCAACAATGTTAATGCAATAAAAAGTTGAAGAGTGGCAACTTTTAAGAGTAGATATTTCTATTAACCTGATAAGAAAGCTGAGGCATCTGATAAGAGAAGCTACAGAACTTGCCCAGAGGCATCCAACTACACAAGGAGGAGCCAGGGCCCCAGAGCTGGCACAACTAAATTCCTGGCAACTCTGGCCCTACATGGTCCTCACTTATCTGTTGTTCACCATATCCTGGCCTGTGTCCTGGGAAGAGCTGTTATCCATGGGCCAGCTATGTGGTCCTATGTGTACGCACACTCAGTGGAGTTTGCTAAATTGGCAATACCCAGATTATTCTGTAACCTGCGATCTGCTGATTGAAGGGAACTGTGTACCCACAGATGACTGGAGATACCGATCAAGTGTTCTTCTCTGAACTGTTGATTCTCCACTCACCAAGGGTGTTGCAGCTGAGACGGGATGGTGGTCCCTGCAGTCAGCGCTCTGTGTCCCAGTGCCACGGTCAGAGAGAGGCATGGGTACTTGGCAGTGTTGTCACTAACAGGCACTTACCAGGTGGCCAGCCTTTCCTGGATCCTGGATGCTTGCTTAATGCCCCGAGCATCAGTGCAGGTAGGTAACCAATCACTTGCGTGGCCACAGAAGCTCTCACACATTTGTTGAGTGAATGAATAATCTTTATGATCTTCCAAGATAGGGCAGGGCAGGGCAGGGCAGGGCAGGGCAGGGCAGGGACAAATATCCTAGGCTGGGAGAGGCTGTGGTTTGGTGAAGGTGGCCCAAGGACAGGGGGCAAGGTGCAAGGCCAGGGCCAGAACCCAGGGCTTTCTGAGTCCAAACCCAAGTCCTGACCCTCGAGTTCAGGGTAGGATAGGAAAGCGAGGGGTTGATCAGGCAGAGGGACTTATTCAGGCTGGGATGTGGCTGCGTGTGGTTGGAGTGAGGTGACGTCACTGGGCTGGATCTGACCTTGATTGTGGCAACTCTTCATGAGGCCACAGGACAAGAGCTCTCTGTTACTGTTCCAGAAGGCGGTGCCCAGAGTCCCGTGGGGACCCAGGGTCCACACCCCACAGCATCGATGGTGGTCACTTTCTGTGTCCCCATCTTCCCACCCCTGACCCTGCAGTACAAACCCTCAGTGCTTTTCCTGACCTGGACATGGCTGCTGGCCTGTCTGGACAGAGCGGGACTTTCCACCTTCAGTTTGTTGCTCTCTCTAGAGAGCCAGCTCCCCGCCTCCCGCAGGTGCCCCCCTTCTTCCTTTGCGTGTGTGAATC